AAATCACAGAATTGTTACAATACTATTCAGTCCATCATGTTGCACTGGGTCTCTGAATGAGCAACCCACTCAATACCATTCTCCTGCCTTCTCCTCTTAAAATTGCACATTGTTCCTTTTCAAATAACCGTCTACTTCCCTTTTGAAAGCCTCGATTAAACCTGCCTCCAGCACACTGAGAAAGAGCATTCCAAATCTTAACCACTCACTGCATGAAAAAGATTTCCATCATGTAACTTTCTGTTTCTTTTACTGCTTAATTTAAATCCTTTTTAAGGACAGATGCAAAATATTAATCAAAGTATTCTTGCTTTCAAAGCAGCCATGCCATCTGCTGTTATGTGTAAATCCTCATTTTGGTCCCTAATCAAATTTCTACCTCTTTGGTCATCCAGGGAGTTCTGGATTTCATTGCCCTACCTTTCCCTTTCAAGGGAAGATACCTTGATTGCCTGAACAAGTTCGTCTTTGAATGAAGTCCATTGTTCAATAACCATTTTTCCTGCCAACTTCTGACTCCAGTTTATTTGATCAAGATCCATTCTTACCCCTATTACCGTTGGCCTTCCTCCAATAAATTACTCCTACTTTGAATCGTTCATTATCCATTTTCATAGTCACCTTAAACCTTATGATGAAGCGATCGCTGTTCACCAAATGCTCTTCCATTGGCACTTGATTTACTTCACCTACTTCATTTCTAAGAACCAGGTTTGCAGGGCTTCCTTTCTCATTGGACTGGAACATGCTGGTATAGAAAATTTACCTGAACATTCTCTAGGATCTTTAGTTTTTGAACGAAGATCTGTAGCTCAGGTTGGTTTTTTTAAATTCATTAACGGAATTAGGGCGCCTGTGACCAGGCAGCATTTATTGCCCATCCCTATTTGCCCAGAGGGCAGTTCAGAGTCAACCACATTGCTGTGGGTCTGGAGTTACATGTGAGCCAGACTAGGTAAGGATGGCAGTTTCTTTCCCTAAAGGGAATTAGTGAACCAGATGGGTTTTTCCAACAATCGACAAAGAATTCATGGTCATCATTAGATTCTTAATTCCAGGTATTCTATTGAATTCAAATTTCACCATCTGTCGTGGCAGGATTCTAACCCAATGTCCCCAGAATGTTATCTATGTCTCTGGATTAACAGTCCAGCGATGACACCAGTAGGCCATCGCCAGCCAGTGGTTGGAGTTGTTAGTTGGTTCTCCAAGCTGACTGGTTTTCACGTAAATGTTTCATCGCCCTTCTAGGTGACATCTTCATTCTGTCTAGCCTCCACTGAAGTGCTGTTGTTCTGTCCCACTCTGAATTTATATGGTCTGGTCTGTCACAGTGGGTAAACCTGTTTCCGGTTTTGTACAGTAGTAGTATGTAGATTGGATCTATTTCAACATGTTCGTTTTCAGCCACCAGTGCGATAAACCATATAATTTCAGAACGGGATAGAACAACAGCGCTTCAATGGAGGCTAGACAGCACTGAAGATGTCCCCTAGAAGGGAGACGAAACTTTTGCCTGAAAACCAGTCAGCTCGGCGAACCAACCAAAACCTCCATACTCTAGGAACATTCGCCCTTCTCTCCCACTGCATTACAGTACCAGTCTACATTTGGATCATTAAATCCTCCATTATAACTAGTCTATAATTTTCCTGCTTCTATAATTACTTTGAAAATTCTACATGCTTCCCATTATTTGTGGCCCATAAATTACACTGAACAATGTAATTACACTTTTCTGTTCCTTAGTTGTAGCCAAATTGATTTTGTCTGTGACATCTATAGATTATCCACGTTCTCCAGTACTGCAATGTGCTTCTTAATTAATACTGCCACCCCTCCATTTTTTGTTCCTTTCCAATCTTTTCTAAACACCTTTTGATCAGGAATGTTTAACATCCAGTCCTGCCCTCCCTTGAGCCAAATCTCTGTTATAGCCACAACATCATATTTCCGCTTGCCAATCTGACCTGAAACTCACGATTCTTATTTGCCATTCTCATTGCATTCACACACATGCATCATAACTCTGACTTATATTTCATTTGTTTTTCTCTTACTCTGTGTACTGGAAAAAAAACCTTTCTCATACTTGGATTTGCAGAAAACCAGGCAGAAGTGTTTTATCAGTAGAAGTCAAATTGTAGGTTTCATTGCATTGATGATAGGGAATAATGGATTCTTCATTTCTATAGTTCTGTAGCTGATTGAAGTCAGGTGAAACTCAGGGTTGATGCAGTGAAACACCAACAAGGTGGGATAAAGTTATAGAGTCATTACATAACAGAAGGAGACCATTGAACTGATTAAGTCCTTGCCAGCTGTCTATCGAGCAATCCAGTAAATCCTATTGTCCCACTGTAATCCTGTAGCCCCAATTTTAAATCCCTCAAATTAGGACGAGATGAATCAAAGTGAATGATTAGCTGATAGTAAATGTGAAGTTGAAAAACCTGTAGATCATAGAAGCCAAGAATGAGCAGTTCAACATCCTGAGGCTCTGGGAAGAGATTGGAGGTTTCTTATAAATGTGAGTGAGCAAGAGTGATGAATTCATCTCTGCTTTTCTATTTAGGACTCAACATTGGTCCTGTTGTAGCAGGAGTGATTGGAGCCCGCAAACCTCAGTATGACATCTGGGGAAACACAGTCAATGTGGCAAGTCGAATGGACAGTACAGGTGTCCCTGACAGAATTCAGGTAAATGAAAAAACTCTGCCCTACGCAAATGGCGCATAAAACAAGTTTCTGCTTCTCTAGGCCGCCACTACTTCCATAGCTTTGAGATGAATGTTTTTTGTTCTTTTTGGAAGCTATTGAATTGCTTTCTTCCTAATTTGATGGCTGTTTGTCCCTTAAGTGTTTGGCCACAAGTCCAGCACTGCTCCCTGGCTCATAGAAAGACTAATCAAGTGTCTACCAATCAATCAATTATCAATTGATCACCATAAAGATGAGAGGGACGTCTCCAGTCTCACACTAACATGATTGACTATTAATGGCTTCCTGAGACTACCAAATAAGTGAGTCAGGAAGATGGTAGTGTAGTGATAATATCACCATACTAGCAATTTAGAGACCCAGATTAACATTCTTAGAATATGGATTCAAATCCCATCTTCCATTGGTCAAATTTAAAATGATTTAATTATTAATAGTCGACTAATCAGTATTAAAACAAATTGGAACTAAAAACGAATCTCAGTAAGGAAACTATAATTGATTGTTATTAAAACCCACCTAGTTCACTAACGTTCTTTAAAGAAGGAAATTTCCGGACCCACTGTAGAGTAGTTCTCGTAATAGCCACTCTCAAAGTGTACTTAGGGATGGCCCATGAAAACAACTAAACTCAGAGTAACTAGAGATGGACAATAAATGTTTGCCATGCTGGTGACACGCCAATCCTGAGTATCAATAGAGTAAAATGAATATTGAAACCATGTTAAGAGAAATTTTGGAAATAAACAGCAAAACTGTCATAACTAATTGGGGAACAAGTAGATTTTGAGTAATCACTTGACCAAACCTGGTTAGCTACTGTTTAATTGGTCCTCGCCTCACCTCTCAATCAGGAGATCATGGGCTCAAGTCCCAAACCAGGACCTAAGCATAAAAATTCTGTCTCCTTCGATGGCAGATGGGAAGTTTGAAAAGGGGCTGTTGTGGTGGAGTGTTAGTGTCACCACCTCTGAGCCAGGAGGTCTGGGTTCAAGTCCTACCTGCTCTAAAGGTATGTCCTGACATACTTGAACAATTTGATTGAAAATATCATAGATCATAGAATCCCTACTGTGTAGAAACAGGCCATTCAGCCCAACAATTCCACACCACCCCTCCGAAGATCACCCCACCCAAACCCAATACTCCTGCATTTCCCTTGTCTAACCCACCTAACCTAAACATCCCTGGGCGCTATGGGCAATTTAGCATAGCCAATCCACCTACCCTGCACATCTTTTGGACTGTGGGAGGAAACCAGAGGAAACCCACGCAGACTCATGGAGAATGTGCAAACTCCACACAGACAGTCGCCCGAGGCTGGAATCAAACCCAGGTCCCTGGCGCTGTGAGACAGCAGAGCAAACCACTGAGCCACCATGCAAATTTGTCTGAACTTCCCAGTTCAGTACCAAGACAGTGCTGCGCTGTCAGAGGTACTGTCTTTGAAATCAGAAATTAAACCAAGATCCCTGTCTGCCCTTTCAGGAAAATAATTCATGATGCTAACTGGCAGATAAGCAGAAAAATATTCCTGTATATCCTTGCCAATAGTTGTCCCTCAACAAGCATCCATTAAAAAAGTTTGAAAATCTGCTCAGCACTAATTGTGGAAGGTTCCTGTGTGTCGCCTTTCCTCAGTACAACGGTAACTACACTTCATAAGTATTTAATTGGCTGAAAAGTGGTTTGGAAAGTCTGAAAGGCAATCTGTGGATACAGTCAGTTCTGCTATAATGCATGTTCTGACAACGCGAATTGGCTATAACATGACTGACAAATAGGAGAATTCTATTTCTAAAATGCGAACTTGTGTTGGCTAATACGCAATTCCATCAGTCTGCGGAGCAGTATGTGCCAACCTCGCATGATCATTTCGCAGGCTTTGTCTTGAGCATGCGCAATGTTAGCACCAAAAGAGTCTCCACATGGCATCACATGATTATTTTGTAGGCTTTGATGTGATAAGGGTGTTAAGGACAGTGTTCTTCAATTTTGGAAGAGGTTTAACGGCAAGAATGCAGTTGACATTATCCTGGAGGCCTGAGGTGATATCGACTGCGATTTTGAGTGATGTTTTTTGGTGGTCTGTCCCTATCCCCGCTTTTCCCATAGGCCTGTTTATTTCTATAGCACAATTTTCTATAATGCGATGTTTGTGCAGGAACGCAACTATTGTGTTATAACAGAAGCAACTGTAGTAGCCAAAGTGTTAGCTGTTTTTATTTTTCTTTTACTCATGGGGCCTGATCTGTATTTACAGCAATTTGTAATTTCCAGTTGGTTTCTATTTAACTGCATTATCTTTTTGTCATCCTTTAATTTGGCTGTTCACGATCCCCTCAGGTGACTACAGACATGTACCAAGTCCTGTCAGCTGAAAACTATCACTTGGAGTACCGGGGACTGGTTAAAGTCAAAGGCAAAGGAGAAATGTATACATATTTCCTGAACGAAGGACCAGACATCAGTTAGCAACGACAGAAACACCAAAAAAAACTATACTTATCAAAATTCTTGGAAATCCTGTGCCCTACATGTGATTGCGAGGAATGGACTGAGGATATACAATGTCAGAATCACAGCTGGGTGACGTTCTCGACTTCAACAGGACAAACACCAGACAGAGACCTTTTCAAAAGAACACACCCATTCCCCACTTTCCCAGCAAAAATATTTAGAAGAAAATGGGAACAGACAAACTAAGGTCATTCAGCATTTCAATCCTGCTCTGCATTTCATTGAGATTGTGGCTGATCTGAGGCTGAACTCCATCCCCCCATCATGTTATAAAAGTCAAAGGCGCAAAGACCATGACAAAGACTCTGGCCAGCAATCCAATTGAATAATTGTTCCCCTCCTATCACTTCCAATGTAACACAACCAAAGAATATATATTAAATAATAGTGTTCTGGAGACTTTAGTGTGTTAACGACAACCACAAATACACATACATATACACACATATCATTTACAGATACAGATGTATACACACAAACACTTGTATGTACATACACATATGCATACACAGTTACATATACACAGACACAAAAGCATTCACATAAACAATCTTAAACATTCTGTCTTACATATACAACACATATATACACACTAATTTAAACACATACAGATACATCCACATGCACACATACACACCTTACACTTGTGTACACTAATGGAAGCAAATGTATATACATGCAACACACACTAATCACTTACATATATGCATACCTTACAATTTAACATGCAAACATACATAAGCAAACATTTACATGTAAATACATTTACACACATACGTTTACATGTAGATACACACAAATGAACACAGATTTTTACATTTTTACATAAACACATAGTTGAATATGCACATCTGCAAACATGTACTCGCTCAAACTTTCAGGCATACACGCATGCAAACATTTATATATACAAAGACTTACACAGAGGAGCAAGGCCCCAATGGGATGAAACATAGACTCAGCAGAATACAAGATCGATGCCAGTAGCAAGTTACGGACATCCCAGCTATACTTTGATGCATTGGGAAAATGCAGGGAACTGCCATCAGTGCCAACATGACACATTAGAGCACCCAGTCTGAATGGGCTAAATTCATGCCAGGTGTCGTTCCCACCATGGTACACCTGGCGGAAACCAGGATCACTTGCTGATGATTACTCTCAAAGTGTTTTCTTGTTCTTCGTGGATTCAGCAGACTACTTGGGGCACTGTTGAGAGTCCGACTGTGGGTCTACAGCCATGAGAACCTTTGAATATTCTTCTGACTGCGCCTTCCACACCACAAGGGGCAGGGGGCCAGAAATAATTTTGAATTTACCACTTGTTATTTTAGTTTGTAATGTTAAAACTTCAGACTTAGCAGAGCACTAGAATTCTATATTTTGTAATGATAATAGCAGACGCTATGTACACCAGTGTATATTATTCTGATGTATTCAATGCTATTACAAGGACTAAGTGCAGCGCTCTCTCTGTGTAATTCTCTCTCTCCCATCACACATTATCTTCGATTGTAATATGGCTTCATTGCATGTGGGTCAAAGGACTTACTGATCTCTGACCAGCCCTCACATATCCAACACTTTTGAACACTAACACTTCACTCCCCATCCTCCTGATTTCCTTCCCTTCATTGTTAAAACAATACCTGATTCCATGGGCACGTTTCCACTGTTTGGGTAGCCCGCAATTAATATTTTGTGAACGGAGAGGGTCATTTATGGGTCTCTGACTGCTGGAATGTAATTGGTAAGATAAAATTTTGTGATTTATAAGAGGGACATGCACTCCTTTTTTAATCCACATCTTGCAGACATTATGGTAATTTCCCATGGAAATGGAAATGTGTTCAATAATTTATTACAAACTGTATTAAACAAGATACTGCTTCACTGGAAAGGGGTCCTGTGTGTCATTTGTCAGTGTGTCTAGCTGTAGGATCAGGGCTGAATAAGGAAAATAATTGTCAGTCTTGTTCTGATACAAAATGTAATCCAAAACATGAACAATGATAACAATTACTTCATTTATATAGCACCTTTAATGCAGTAAAACACCCTGAATACAATTCTCAAAAGCAGTAATCAAAGTTTGACACTAAGCCACATAAGGAGACAGCAAGACAAAAGACCAAAAGCTTAATCAAAGAGGTAGAGATATTAAGGAGTGTGTTAAAGAAGAGAGTTACAAAGGTGGAGCAGGGAGAGGATTACAAAGTTTACAGCCAAGGCACAGGAAAGCATGATCGCTAGTGATGGAATGATTAAAATCAGATACACACCAGGCAGATGTGGAGAAACACAAATATCATGGAGATGAGCACTGGAGGAGGTTAAAAACAAGGGTGAGAATTTTAATATCAAGGTGTTGGTTAACCAAAAGCCAATGTAGATTTGTATCACAGGGGTAATGGATGAACAAAATGTAATGTGTTAAATATAGCTAGCAAAGTTTTGGATGAGCTTAATTTTTTGGAGGTTGGGAGATGGGAGTCCAGCCAAGAGAACATTGACTAGTGAAATCTAAGGGTAACTTTCGGTGTGCAGCCCTCCGCCACCACAATTTTCCCTCATTCTCAACCACCAGTTATTTTGTTTGCTGTTCTCCACAACCACTTCTTCCTTCATTCTCTTCTGCTCCCCATTTTATTCTTCACTCTTCTTTCATACTCTCCTCTTAGTGATGCTGATTGAGGGGATAAATATTGGCGTGGACACTGGAGCAAACTCCACTGTTTCTTCAAAATTCTATTTTTGTGGGATCTTTTGCCTCCACCTGAGACACCAGAGGGCCTCATTTTAATATCTCATTCAAAAGTCTGCGCACCAGTAGTGCAGCACTCCTTTGGTTCTGCATTGGAGTGTCACCCCAGAATGGTGGTTGAGTTTCAAGTGAGATTCAAACCGACAAATAACTGAAAATGCGGAAACTGTACCACATCTACATGTGTATCTGACCTCGCAATATTTATACGTAATAGAGAATAACTAAAAATGAAAAATAAATAGTCATTAAATCTGTTTTGCTCATATTTATTTTCAACGATCTATTTCTGCAAGTCAAATATTTGAACAGGAACATTTTGTTCCTCTATCTGTAATAGTAAAGGCAAGCATCTGGCTGAAATAAATGTAATTTTTAAATTCTCCAAATGGAATATGTCTGGATATTACTATGACATTGTTATTGTGTGTATCAGTCAATGAACCTCTTTCAAATCCCTCCCAATACATTCTGAACAGGTGATGGTTCCTCACCAATTGCATCACAAACTGCTCAATACAACTCACTCATCCAACAAAGGGAGCCTGTGTGTACCGTGAATGAGGTGAAATCCCACATCAGTCACTCAGCAACCAAGAATTTAAAACAAAGGCAAAGAGAAGTTAATTTGTAGGTTATTTCATGTATTTTCTTACCTACCTAACTTTGCATTCAGTCTCCGCCACCTATTAAATGATTTGCCATAAGAGAGGAGTGTAATGAAAGTTGACTGGACTAATAAATGGGAGATGGGGGTCAGATTAAGTAGAAAATTCAATATCGTCTAGGGTAGAAATTCCAAAGGTTCACATTCCTGTGGGTGAAGAAATTTCTGTTCATCTCAGTTCTAAGTGGCTGCTGCTTATCCTGAGACTATGAAACCCTACTTCTAGAATCTACAGAAATAGCCTCTGAGCATCCACTTTGCCATGCTCCTCAGAATGTTGACCTGATTAAACTTGTAATGCAAGGAATCTCAAAACATTACATGTATTTTTTGTCTAGAAACTCCAGGGATGTGCAGTGAAAGACACAGAAGTGACAAAAAGGTGTAAAATGGGCAATTTAATGGAGAAACAAAGAAACAGAAAGTAAAAGCAGTAGGAAGCCTGGTCAGCTATTCAACATGGTCGTGGCTGATCATCCACCTCAGTACTTTGTCCTGTTTTCATTCCATTCCCTTCACTGTCTTTAGCCCCAGTAACTATAACTAACTCCTTCTTGAACACATTCGATGTTTTGGCCTCTACCACTTTCTGTGGCAGTGAATTCCACAGACTCACCACTCTCTGGGTGAAGAAATTTCTCCTCATCTCAGTCTAAATGGGTCCTGTATCCTTAGACTGTGGCCCATGGTCAATGGCCAACATCCTTTCAATGTTTACCCTGCCTAGTCCTACTAGAATTTTATAGGTTTGAAGAGATAATGCCTTGTGCTTCTAAACTCAAGACAACATAGTCCTAACCGAGATATTCTTTCTTCGCACATCAGTCCTGCCCTCCTGGGAAGGCATCCGACGACTTCTCTGTTGATGTTATGGTAACAAACTCCATGAAGCTTAATGCCGAGCTTGTCAGACTTTCAGGGCCATTTCAGGTGCACAATCTCACTGTACATATGCTCCCATCTCACCTCCAAGGAAGATTTTGCACGACTTCCACAAAATTGAGGTGAGAAGAATTGTATCCATTAGAATCTCACTAAAACAGAATTTGCCTGACTTCATGATCTGGCAGGAGTTTCTGGGAGTAATTCAGGAGACACAGCAAAAGTTCATCCCCAGGAAAAAGAAGCATGGAACAGGGAGGATGAGACAACCATGGCTGACTAAGGAAGTCAGGGATAGCATAAAAGCAAAAGAGAAAGCATATAATATGGCGAAGGGCAGTGGGGAACTGCCTTCGAAGGACTGGGAAGCTTACAAAGACCAACAGAGGGCAACAAAAAAAGAAAAAAGGAGGGAGAAGATTAAATATGAGGGTAAGCTGGCCAGTAATATAAATGAAGATTGTAAGAGTTTCCTTAGATATATAAAGGCAAAAGTGGACATTGGACCTCTGGAAAATGATGGTGGAGAGCTAGTAGTGGGGAACAAGGAAAAGGCTGAGGAACTGAATAATTACTTCGCGTCAGTCTTCACGGTGGAAGACACGAGTACTCTCCCAAAAATTCAAGAGAGTCGGGGGCAGAGCTGAGTATGGTGTCCATCACCAAGGAAAAGGTGCTAGTAAAACTGAAGGTGGATAAATGACCTGGACCAGATGGACTGCACCGCAGAGTTCTAAAGGAGATCGCTGAAGAGATAGTGGAAGCATTAGTGGTGATCTTTCAGGAATCGCTTGTGTCAGGGAGGGTCCCAGAGGACTGGAAAATTGCTAACATGACACCTCTGTTTAAAAAGAGAGTAAGGCAAAAGACAGAAAATTACAGGCCGATTAGCCTAAACTCGGTCGTGGGTAAGATTTTAGAATCCATTGTAAAGGATGAGATTTCTGAATATTTGGAAATGTATGGTAAAGTAGGGCAAAGTCAGCATGGTTTCATCAAGAGGAGGTCATGCCTGACAAATCTGCTAGAATTCTTTGAGGAAGTAACAAGCAGAGTAGACCAAGGAGAGGCAATGGATGTTATCTACCTGGACTTCAAGAAGGCCTTTGATGAGGTGCCGCACAGGAGGCTGCTGAGTAAGATAAGGGCCCATGGTGTTAGAGGCAAGGTACTAGCATGGATAGAAGATTGGCTGTCTGGCAGAAAGCAGAGAGCAGGGATAAAAGGGTCTTTCTCAGGATGGTAACTGGTGACAAGTGGTGTTCCGCAAAGGTCAGTGTTGGGGCCACAACTTTTCACTTTATACATTAATGATCTAGATGAAGGAACTGTGGGCATTCTGGCTAAGTTTGCAGATGATACAAAGATAGGTGGAGGGACAGGTAGTATTGAGGAGGTGGGGAGGCTGCAGAAGGATTTGGACAGGTTAGGAGAGTGGGCATAGAAGTGGCAGCTGGAGTACAATGTGGGAAAATGTGAGGTCATGCACTTCGGCAAGAAGAATAAAAGCATGGACTATTTTCTAAACAGGGAGAAAATTCAGAAGTCTGAAGTGCAAAGAGACTTGGGAGTTCTAGTCCAGGATTGTCTCAAGGTAAACTTGCAGGTTGAGTCAGTAGTCAGGAAGGCAAATGCAATGTTGGCATTTATTTTGAGAGGACTTGAATATAAAAGCCGGGATGTACTACTGAGGCTTTATAAGGCTCTGGTCAGGCCACATTTGGAGTATTGTGTGCAGGAAGGATGTACTGGCCACGGAGCGGGTTCAGAGGAGGTTCATGAGAAAGGTCCCAGGAATGGAAAGCTTATCATACGGGGAATGTTTGAGGACTCTGGGACTATACTCATTGGAGTTTAGAAGGATGAGGGGGGATCTAATTGAAACTTACAGAATACTGAATGGCCTGGAAAGAGTGGATGTTGGGAAGATGCTTCCATTGGTAGGAGAGTCTAGGACCCGAGGGCACAGCCTTAGAGTAAAGGGAAGACCTTTTAGAACAGAGATAAAGAGAAACTTCTTCAGCCAGAGAGTGGTGAATCTACGGAATTCACTGCCACAGAAGGCTATGGAGGCCAGGTCATTGAGTCCATTTAAGACTGAGATAGATAGGTTCTTGATTATCAAGGGTTACATGGAGAAAGCGGGAGAATGGGGTTGAGGAACTTATCAGCCATGATTGAATGGCAGAGCAGACTCAATGGGCTGAATGGCCTAATTTCTGCTCCTATGTCTTATGGTCTTATGATATGGTCATCTACCCTCCAGGGTTGTCCTGGAGTCTCCAGGAATTGAAAATTGATTTCCCTGATCTGAGCACTGCATCTAGCAACTCTGGAGGGGGAAAAAGACACAATGCAAAAGGTCGGCTTTTCCCTGTTTACTTTGAATACCAGGTTTTCAGCTGCATGCATATAGAGTGGAGGTGCAGGAAAGGCTTTTCAATTGAGTTAAGAGTCTTTCACTCAGGAAACAAACAAAACATTTCAATAAGGACTTAGATAAAGTTCTAAGGGCAAAAGGGATGAAAGGATATGTGGCGAAAACGGGAACAGGACACTGAGTAGGATGATCAGCCATGATCATATT